GTTATGCAGGCCCATGCATCGCTGGCAATCCCTGTAGCAGACGACGCCAGCTTCTCAAGAGTTTCTCACTTCGTTCGAGCGACCCCTGACTATTTTGAGAGGCCATGGTACTCGGATGTTGCAGTGGAGGGTGTAAGGTATGGTCGGAGAGAGGAGTGGTATGCAAGGTTGCTTCTGTTGTTCCATACAAAAATACGTGGAGAGAGGGAGGAGCTGGCTTACGTTAGATATTGGAATGCAAGCGGAGAGGATACAGCAACAGGATGCCTTCGCCTCAAGTGGACGACAGGAATGTACGCGTACTCCGTGATTCCGATTGAAGCGCTGCTCCGCCACGTCCATGTGGTGAAGGCATTCCACCTGGACAGTACCTATCTCCTTAATAAGTATCAAATGTGATGCATTTATCTTGTAATAAAATGGCCAGCATATTTTCAAGCAGACACATTTTAGGGAAGTCAAAGCTTAAAAAACCAATTACAAAATCACAACAAATTTGGCACGCTTCAAATAAACGACAATGTACCGGAGTCGCGGATTCGATCTAGACTTCGACAAACAAACGCGGTCCGATTTCATTCCGTGATTGGTCGCGATTTGGCTTCGGAACTTCGCCAACCAAAACACCTGAACTGTACCCCCCTTCGAACCCCCTTCAAAAACCAAGGTTTTTTTTTATGTGTTCCCCCACGTCAGATCTCCAAGACCACGAGTGGCAAGATTTGACCCAAGGAGGCGAGCCACAGACTCACTACGGGCGCACTCACTGTGCTCAACAATAACTCGCACATGGAGGGTGGCGCAGGAGAGACCATTGGGAGTTGTGGGATCCAAATTCTAGAGACATTGTGATTCTAGGTTGCAGGAATTCTTTTTGTGACGCATCAACCCCTTTTTGGCACTTCAGCAGATTACACTCCTGTAGTGATGTTGGCACTCTTCTGTGCGTTTTTCTTCTCCCCGTGATCTCAGGAGAGTCTCCAGTCGATTCCTGAGGCCTCTGGGGCGAAGGGAGGAGAGGAGGACGTGGTGATTATCGAGGAGGAAAGCTCTGCTGAGGTTCCTCGAGAAGACGTGCTGTCTGGCCAAGAGGAGAGGGAGAGTGAGGAAAGGGAGGGGGCAACCAGGAAGAAGGTGGTAAAGAGGGACTAATGGAAGGGAAAGGGGTGGCTCAGGAAGATTTAGTTGGGGCGATTGTTGCCGCAGCAGCAAGCGCAGGTATTGGAGCTGTTGGAGTAGATGCGGGAGCAGGGGTGCAGTCCGAGAGGGAAGATGAAACAGAGGAGGAAGCGGAGGAGGGAGCAGAGGAGGGAGTAGTTGCGGTAGCCGCACCAGCGACAATTGCAGGGGAGCCACAGCTGCAGCGGAGGGTGACGTGGCAGGGGCAGCTAAAGAGGAGGATGGACAGGGCAACGCTTCTGGAGGAGATGGGGCAGTGGAGACAGAGGAGGACATGGGTGAGGCCAAGTGGGATGGCATGGGTGTGGAGGCGGCTGTGAAGACCATCATGGGTATCCACGTGAGTGCCATTCTTGCTTCTTTCATTTCACCTTTTTTTTCCCCCGTTTTTTCTTCTTGCTTTCTCGCCTTGCTGTACCGAGTCAATGTTTGCAAGCATTAGCGACCTTAACCCTGGTTTATTTCTCTCCATACAGTGCCTCTTCTCCTGTCTCCTCCCAGGACCTGGAGATTGCCGGAGAGCCTCACGTGTGGCTGCATGGATACCCTACTGAAATCCCGCACCCCACAACCTGCCTCCCTCCCACACCCCATCAGATGCCAGGATGAGGAGCTTGATCCCCAGCTCAAGGACCCGTGCTTGGTGCACCACTGCCGTACTGCAGTGGTGGCTTGTTTGAGCATTTGCGACGCTATCTCTTTGTATGCCATCCTAATTCCGACGCTCAATAGTCTTCCCCCCCCCCCTCCCCCCCACCCCACTTGCCGATGCGAGAATGCAGTGCAACTGGTCTAAGAGACCGAGCGCGCCCAAGCAATACTTCGTCCGGGCGCAATTATTCCCCGCCTTCCCTAGCCGCGCATTCCACACCTCGCCATGTTCCAGGTCTCGTGCACAAGTGCCCCCATTGGGCGCACGACGGCGTCGACGTGGGGGACTCCGTGAACCCTCTCTCAACATGAATAAGCCCGTAATAGTGGATAAGAAACAAGTATTGAACTGCTGCCACGCTACAAACAATAATGAATGATGTAATCTCTTGATGTTGACAAACAACAAGTGTAAAATATACTGATTCGAACGAACTTTTAATATGTAGCAGAATGTTATATCGAAACTGCTATGCAAGTCATAGAAGAGAAACTTCTCGAAACCCTAACAGGGAGTGCGCAATTTCTCCCCGCCCTTCCACGCAAACGGATGGAGACAGGATTGGCACGCGCCAACTTTGCAGGTAACTCTGCAGTCAAGATGTAACTCGGGGGGAAGTTGGGGATGAGTCGAGTGAAGTTGATCAATGTAACCCCAGAGTAACCTGCAGTGGGGGCGAGTTGGGCCCTCCACAAATTTTGAGACGTTTCGAATATCGAACTGTAAGCTTGAACTAGATGAACAGAGCACGAAAGGAGTGAATTGAATGAGCGAGTGTGATCTGGTCGAATATGTACGCGCTTAGAGCTGATTGATGCCAGCAGAGGAGAGGAGAGGAGAGGCTCTGTGAAGTCCCCGGGAAAGGCTCTCTGCATGGAATCCCGAACCAAACTGTGAATTTCGGGTAGGGCAGGAACGATTTCTACGGAAATTCTGGGCAGAGGAACAAGCGCTATGGGACGAGCCACGTCATCATTGCCCATGCTGCCCATGGTATTATTTCGTACCTATGGGGTGTCAGAGTCGGTGTGCGTTGCTGGCACGCCGCGTCAGACAGAAGTGGCGGGATGAATCGAGGTCATCACTACGTGCGGGATTCCTGAGGCGCCTTACTCAGGGTTTCCAGTTTCGTGCGATTTCGTGGCGTCTCGACCCATACCCGCATTTTCACCTCCGTCTCTAACGGACACTATTGCGACCAGCGGTTACCACCCGACCAGTAATATTTTGCGAAAACAGCTCGCAAGGCAGAGTGTGTCGCAGAACCGAAAATGCTTTCGGGAATTTGAGCTCAAGTGAACATAAAATTGACAGCTGGAAGTATGACCTCGTTCAAGAGTGGCAGCTGAGAGAATGACTCCAGTGGCCAATACGGTGATTCACCATCCCTCGCGTGGCCACGAATGACTCGAGTGGCCACCAAATTTGGTGATAATGACTCGAGTGGCCACGCCAGGGGATTCTTGCTGCCTTTTTTTTCTTCGGCGCATTACCCTACGGGGCTTTGTAGCCCCGAAATTCCCCATTCGTGCGAGGGTTATCACGCATAAGTGTACATAACCATTGACCACCCGAAATTTTCGCCAGGGTGGCGGGCTCGAACGTGGCCCGCCCACTGTACAAGAAACCGACAAATATTCCGAACAATAGTGTTTGCGCGACCAATTTCGAGCTAATGCGCGACCAAATTCCAAACCAATCAGCGATCGAGCATATTGCACCACGATCATATACTTCTATTGACCCGAAACGATCCGTCACAGCAATAACGACCGCGCATGATTGGTCAAGATTTATGCGCGGTGCTGTTGTGGCTATTGCGCGTCCAATCAAGCGCAATCATTAAGGTTTGGCGATCATATTTGAACGCGTTCATTTATACACAATTTCATATATGATCCCGCCAATCATATACTAAAAACACTCTGGCCAATTAGGTTCGTATTAAGGCCATTTGGTGATACTAAAATTGCGTGATCCGTAAATATAAAAACGTTCTACTTAAACAATGGTATACATGCGTAGATCCTGATATGAGATGCCAATAGATACATATGCATAGCAACCCTCCGCCTCTGCATGCCACATGAAAGGTGTTCACAGTGTTATATAGATTAACGGCAAAACAAAACTCAGGACAGTAGCTACGACGTACCAAATATACTCAGTGATAATTTTTTTATGGATGTTTTGTGTAGGTTTTATAAGCTCCCTAAGCATTACCAAATATGCGCGGACATAAAGGTTATTGCGCGGTCTTATATGATGTATGACTGCGACTTTGTTTGGACGTTCTTTGATTGGACGCGCAATGTCAGGTCATATCCTGCGAACAAGATCAACCAATCACGCGCGGTCATCCAATTTCTCGCGCACCGACGGCCGATCATTTCAGTATATGATCGGGAATTATACGATGGCACGTGATTGGACGCGCATATCACCTGACCAATCGAGCGCGGTTGATTTTGCTGGATCGGTTCGTTTCGGGTCAAAGGCAGTATATGATTGCGAAGTCATATGCTCGATCGCTGATTGGATGTTAATCAGATTTATCGCGCGCTCATTGGCCGCGCATTTGGCCGAAACTGACCGGTCAATGTACTGTTGGTCAATGTACAGTGAGCGGGCCACTTTCGCGTCCGTGAGCCTGGCGAAATTTTCGGGTGCAAAACAGAACGGAACACTACCTAAGGATAACCCTCGCACGAATGGGGAATTTCGGGGCTACAAAGCCCCATAGGGTAATGCGCCGAAGAAAAAAAAGCCAGGTAGAATCCCCTGGCGTGGCCACTCGAGTCATTATCACCAAATTTGGTGGCCACTCGAGTCATTCGTGGCCACGCGAGGGATGGTGAATCACCTTATTGGCCACTGGAGTCATTCTCTCGTGGCAGCTCGTCTAGGGATCGACGAGGAGAGATGAGGGGAAGATTAGTCCTGTACTCCCTATAGCAAGGAACTTGCTAGAGTGTGGTGCCGAGATATTTGTACAGAATAGAACTCCAGTAACCAACTTTTTTCTTGCATTGAGCTTGCATAAACCTTTTCAGCCCAACAGCTTCAATAACAAACGCCATAAGGCTAATGAAATAATCAAATGGAATAAAATTAGGGACATGTGTGCTTTAGCTCGCAAAGATGTACACGGAATTGCATGTAACATGAATTACTCATCCTCGTCGCTGTCTTCATCATCTGAAACATCCTCCACGAACATTGGTCGATGATTTGGATTCCTCTCCAAAGGAGGCAATCCATCGTCCTCCTCATCTTCGCCCTCCTCTTCCTCTCCCACTCTCTCTTCCTTCCCCTGCCCATCCCCTCCCGTAGTTGTTTGCCTTGGCTCCTCTGGCCCCTCCCTTGCGCTGCCTTGGGAACTCCGCAAAGCCTGCCCTTCTTCTCCAAGTGAGCTGTGCTCTGCATCTTTCTCTTGGCTTTGCTCAGATGGTGCTGATGTTGATGCTCCAGCTCTTTCTTTTACTACTGCTTCTGCAAACGCCTCTGGCCTGCCGTTTGTATAATGGGTATACGAAGTGAGAAATGGGTGAAAAAAAGGAGACGTTTGGTTGAATTGCACTGAATGAACAAGATGCAGAGAACAGACGAAGAACACAAGGATGGGTGGTGAACTGAGAATACAGAAGCAAGAGGCCAGAAAAGAACCACTGATTGGAGATGAGGCGGCAGCAGCCTTTGCACGAACCACTGATTGGAGGCTACGAGCTCTTTAATGTGATGATCAAACAGCACAGCCGTTATGCTGCCCCTCACTCTCCCTCCCGCCTTATCCACCTCCTCTGCTGAACTCACGTCTGCCACCACAAAACTGCCTGGTGGTGGGGGTAGGAGGAGGCTGATAAGGAAAATACGTGCTGGCATGATGCGAGTAAAAATGAAACACCCTTTGCTAGTCAGGTAAGAGCAAGATGCAGAGCACAGCCAAGAGCAACGTGCAGAGCAAAGAGAAAGGTGCAGGGCACAGCATCAGCATCAGCATCAGCCATCAACATCAGCACCCTTTTACCTTTCTCATCATGAAACATCGCGGGTCCATAGAGTGTGAGAACAGATTTGCAATGTGAGAGATTTCGGCATTTACCACGGTAAGGTGAGTAGGGGGCCCACTGAACAGGAGAGCAGAAAAACAGTCAGAGTGGGTCCATGATCAGCCACGAACGAGGCTGCACGAAGGGTGCTTGTTACCATTAGATACAGTCTCCACCTTCGCATAGTTGTTACATACTGCTCGCACCTCTCTAGACTCGCTCCCGCCTCTTGAGAGATATCCAACCTCTCTTGACCCATGCCCATCTCCCTTGACCAGCTCACACCTTGCTCAACCCACTCTCACCTCTCTTGAGCCACAGCATGCGGTGGAACTTGGCGGGCAGCATGCACAGCATGGCCGTGCCACTACCGTCCTCCAGCTGAGGGGGCAGAGGGGGAGAGAGGAGGGTGTGGAGGGGAGAGAGCAGCAGACAAAGAGGCAGGAAGGGAGTGCAGGAGAGGGGAGAAGAGGGGAGTAGAGTGGGAGGGGGGGGGGGGGGGGGGGGGGGGGAGAGCGCAAGGGAGGCGGGGAGGAGAGAGAGAATAAGACAAGGCACAAAAATCTCATCTGACTTCAAAGAGGTTGCTGCACCTGAACTGCACCCCGCCTTCCACTCCCCCCCTCCCTCCCCCTCTTCTGGCCCCCCAACCCCCCTCCTCCCCCCTTGTACCCAGAAACACACCTCATGTCACCTAGATGAGGTTGCTGCCTCTGGGGCCCACGACGTGCAGAATCTGCTCGCCCTCCCCCACACTCACACGCTCGCCCTCCCCCACACTCACACGCTCGCCCTCCCCCACACTCACACGCTCGCCCTCCCCCACACTCACACGCTCGCCCAGCACACCCGCCTTCTGAGGCGCCTCTAAAGTCAACGCACCTCGATGAGGTTGCTGCCCCTGGTCCCTGGGGGCCGCAGAATCTGCTCGCCCTCCCCCTCGCTCACTCCTCCACTCCTCCACTCCTCCACCCCTCCCTCCTCCCCCCTTCCCCCTCCCCCCCCTCACCTCGATGAGGTTGCTGCCCCTGGGGGCCACAACGCGCAGAATCTGCTCCCCCTCCCCCACGCTCACACGCTCGCCCAGTGCACTCGCTTTCACATGCTTCCGCGCGCGCGTCATGGTGATGTGGTGGCAGAGTGATAGGAGCGATGGCAGCTGGTGGGGGGTGAAGGGGGATGATGGGAGGGATGGGAGGTGATGGGAGGGATGGGACGCGATGGGAGGGATGGGAGGTGATGGGAGGGATGGGACGCGATGGGAGGGATGGGAGGTGACGGGGGATGAGAAAGGGCATGAAAAGTCCCCCCCCAGCGCACCCGCCTTCACATGCTTCTGCGCGCGTGTCATGACGATTGGGTAGGTGATGGGAGCTGGTGGGCGAAGAGGGAATGAGTGCGAAAGAGGAGGTTTTAGAGAGACAAGGAAGCTGGGAGAAAGTCGGAGGAGAGCAGGGAAAGTCTGAGCGCAAAGCTCGCAAAGGGAAGGTGGGGAAGGGGAGGGAGGAGGAGGGGGACGGGGGGAGGAGGGGAGGAGGAGGGGGGGGGTTAGGGTTAAGGTTTGCGGTTACCAAGTGAAGGTTGAACGTGGAAATATGCAAAGGGGCAAGCGGGACGTGTGAGGGAGGAGGAGGGGGGAGTGTGGGTGTGGGGGGGGGGGGAGGGGGGGGGTTGGGGGGGGGGAGGGGGGAGAGGGGGGAGGGGGGGGGAATGCTGAGACTGCCTAAACACAAGCCAGCACAAGGCTCAGAGACAAACGTCTAATAGGACTACAGGAGAAACACCCTGTCAACCTTCGAAAAGACGACGAGGTTACGGAGTCCCTAAAGTGGCACGTTCACAACTCACTGACGGGTCAACAAATGAAGATGCTGTTGTTTTGTACGAACAGTATCAAAGGCGACCAAGTTAACGCAACAGATGCGGTGCGGCGGCAAACCACAAAATCCTTGTCTCGTCACGCCGGCGCTCGCGGCACTGCGGCGCTCTCCGCGTGCTCGCATACTCAGTCAAGTGATGACCACTCTCCTACCCTCCCGTCGCTCACTACCCACTGCATCTGTGAAACGACCTAGAAATGCTTTCCGCGTGCTCGGGAGTGGTACTCACATGTGTATGGACTCGACTCAAAACACTACCTCCGATATTCCCGCTGCTTACTACCCGCCTGCATCCGTACACGACCTAACGATGTTCTCTGCGTGCTCGCGGTGTTCGGGTATGGTACTCACCAAGTGATCAAGACTTTGCGAACGATCCACCATGAATGTCCTGGTTCCGGTAGGGCCGCTTCTTTCACGATAATAGCTGCGATAATAGATACTAGCAATGGTTATTGCTTCCAGGATGCAGACCACACCTAGTATCGCGTGGTGTGACAATAGCGAAACGATCGTCTGTGAGTGATCTGCCTTGGGAGAATGCACTGCGTCCTCGGCCTAGGATAGCATGGACTACGCGTTGACGAGGTAAACGGGTAACCAGACGTTAGCCATTCACGAACCTCACCCTCCTTCAAGCTCTGCGAACCTCAAGATCAGACCACTCATGAAAGTCGACGTAACCCTCGCAAACGTTCGTGTACCTCGAAACTGTCGCAGTAACGCCTTGGTCATGGGATTGACGAAAATATTCTGAAACAGAATTGCACACGAGTTTGTTCCAGTCTCCCAATTTTAGGGATTTGGACACTGGCAATCAGGTTCATTTCCTGAGTGTGTTCGAGATGCCCTGTCGGCTTGTGCCAAGCCTAACCCCGCTGCATCCCATTTCACCGCTCTGTATTAGACAGGTAAGCGACAAGTACGTCTCGTATTTATCTGGAACGTATCAGAACGGTGTCAGGATTTCGACGTTCGAGCCGATCCGGATTATGTTTTGGACCGAACAGCACTGCTGTTACAGCAAGTTCATTTTGCACGAAGGTTATTGATTGAGAGATACTTGCGCACGAAGTGCGTACATATGTTGCCTAATCCCGCGTCGCGTATTTAAGATACGCGCTGCATCCACCTTTCGTATCTCATTGTGACGAGGCTTGATCAAGCTTTGAAATCCATTCAAGCGAACGACGTAGCAACAGCTCATCCGGCGCCTCGAAGACACTCAAACATTCTTCAAACATTCTCGCGATCATGACGACGACGAGCATCACACGAGCCGTGCCGCTCGCGCAGCGTCCGTTCGACATACTCTTCGTGCTCTTCTTCGCCGTCCACGTGCTCACTGCCGTTCTCATCGACGCGCAGATGCTGCTGCCACGTGCCCTCTTCCCAGAGGCGTTGCGCCGTGCCGTGACGTGGCACGTCGAGACCTCTGGGGACTTCCTTGTCGGTGAGTCTACTTACATCTTTCATTCATATTTCTAATGCGCATAGAAAAGACTACGCCACGTGACCTCTTCCCAATCGTGATACCCACGTGTCATGCCAAAGACGTGGCACGTGGAGTCCTCCAAAGCGTTTCTCGTTGTAAGATCCCTCCTGCATGGGTATCACGATTGGAAGAGGAAATGCAGGGGAGTTACGTGCCCCCTGCATGCATTTTCGTAACGCGTGCGACCATGAACTTTAAACCTCAAACCTGGATTGATAAGGGAAGGGGAAGTTACACAACTGTTACTGATGCGGAGATTTGTCTGAGGCCTACAGGTGACGATGTTCTCATGTGGCACCTGGAGGCCTCAGAGCAATCTCCCCATTGGTAACCTCACCCAGCAGGTGGTTACCCGAGCACGAAAATTGCTAACCCCCATTTGGCTTTCATAAACGAGCGGATTTAATGTCAGGGCTTTTCATGCTCCGTGTTACTCCGTTATCGAAATTGAGTTTTCTCCTTTGCAAGCTCGCCCCAGCCCTGAGTTGCTGCTGCCTCAGATGCTTGCTTTCTGACAGCGTCCGACTTCGCACCCTCGATTCGCTCCCCCCTCTGCCGTCTCTCCATTCCTTCCCTTTCTTCCCTTTCCTCAATGCCTCCAGCCTCCCCATCCTTTTTGCACACTCTCCTTCCCAGCCCCTCTCCTTAACGCCTCTCAGCTGCTCCTGTGGCCATTCTCCCTCAATGTACCTTGCCCCTCCCTCTCCTCGCCTTTCCCCCCTCCTTCCCTCCCCTCACCTCCTCCACAGCCTCACCTATTTCAACCCCCTCACCTCCTTCCACCCCCTCACCTCCTTCCACCCCCTCACCTCCTTCCACCTACTCACCTCCTTCCACCACCTCTCCTCTCCATCGTTGCCTGTGAGCCATTCCCCCTCAGTCCACCGCTTATCCCCTCTTCTGCTTCCACCCACCCTTCACAGGCTTCGCCCAGCCGTGGTTCCTCTCCCTCATCGCCTCGCAGCAACTGCTACCATTCCCACCGTTTATCCCCTCTCCCTCTTCCACCCAACCCCCCCCACAGGCTCGCCCCAGCCATGGTTCCTCTCCCTCGTCATTTCTCAGTTCCTGCTACATGTCCCTTTCTTCTTCGCAGCTATCTACGCCTTCTGCACTGGTGGGTCATTCTGCTGCCCACCCCTGGCTCCTCTCTTTCCTCGCCTCTTCTTCGCAGCTATCTACGCCTTCTGCACTGTTCTCATGTCTCATACCACACGTCTCATGACTCATCCCCCATGAGTCATCCCCATGACTCATCCCCCATGACTCATCCCCCATGACTCATCCCCCATGACTCATCCCCCATGACTCATCCCCCATGACTCATCCCCCATGACTCATCCCTCATGCCTCATCCCTCATGCCTCATCCCTCATGCCTCATCCCTCATGCCTCATCCCTCATGCCTCATCCCTCATGCCTCATCCCTCATGCCTCATCCCTCATGCCTCATCCCTCATGCCTCGTCGCTCGTGCTTCCCCATTGATTTCCATCTCACCGCTCTCAGGCAGGGAGTGGATCCGTGTGCCGGCTATTGCCTACTCTGGCCATGCCATCACCAACATGGTCAGTCCGCCCATATCCATCCCATTCCATGCATGAGCCCCTTGGTAATGTTATGAGCACTGTGGTTGTGGTGCCACTGACAGCATGGTATTGCCATGAGCACCATGTATGGTAATGCCATGAGCACCATGTATGGTAATGCCATGAGCACCATGTATGGTAATGCCATGAGCACCATGTATGGTAATGCCATGAGCACCATGTATGGTAATGCCATGAGCACCATGTATGGTAATGCCATGAGCACCATGTATGGTAATGCCATGAGCACCATGTATGGTATTGCCATGAGCACCATGTATGGTAATGCCATGAGCACCATGTATGGTAATGCCATGAGCACCATGTATGGTAATGCCATGAGCACCATGTATGGTAATGCCATGAGCACCATGTATGGTAATGCCATGAGCACCATGTATGGTAATGCCATGAGCACCATGTATGGTAATGCCATGAGCACCATGTATGGTAATGCCATGAGCACCATGTATGGTAATGCCATGAGCACCATGTATGGTATTGCCATGAGCACCATGTATGGTAATGCCATGAGCACCATGTATGGTAATGCCATGAGCACCATGTATGGTAATGCCATGAGCACCATGTATGGTAATGCCATGAGCACCATGTATGGTAATGCCATGAGCACCATGTATGGTAATGCCATGAGCACCATGTATGGTAATGCCATGAGCACCATGTATGGTAATGCCATGAGCACCATGTATGGTAATGCCATGAGCACCATGTATGGTAATGCCATGAGCACCATGTATGGTAATGCCATGAGCACCATGTATGGTAATGCCATGAGCACCATGTATGGTAATGCCATGAGCACCATGTATGGTAATTGCCATGAGCACCATGTATGGTAATGCCATGAGCACCATGTATGGTAATGCCATGAGCACCATGTATGGTAATGCCATGAGCACCATGTATGGTAATGCCATGAGCACCATGTATGGTAATGCCATGAGCACCATGTATGGTAATGCCATGAGCACCATGTATGGTAATGCCATGAGCACCATGTATGGTAATGCCATGAGCACCATGTATGGTAATGCCATGAGCACCATGTATGGTATTGCCATGAGCACCATGTATGGTAATGCCATGAGCACCATGTATGGTAATGCCATGAGCACCATGTATGGTAATGCCATGAGCACCATGTATGGTAATGCCATGAGCACCATGTATGGTAATGCCATGAGCACCATGTATGGTAATGCCATGAGCACCATGTATGGTAATGCCATGAGCACCATGTATGGTAATGCCATGAGCACCATGTATGGTAATGCCATGAGCACCATGTATGGTAATGCCATGAGCACCATGTATGGTAATGCCATGAGCACCATGTATGGTAATGCCATCAGAGCATGGTATCGCCGCTCTCCCACAAGCAGATCTCCATTCCCTCTGAGATTGCACTGAGCCCATCCCTCTGGCCCATCTCCATTCCCTCTGGCCCATCTCCATTCCCTCTGGCCCATCTCCATTCCCTCTGGCCCATCTCCATTCCCTCTGGCCCATCTCCATTCCCTCTGGCCCATCCCCATTTCCTCTGGCCAGCCACACCCGTGAGTCACTGATCACCATCTCTGAGCACCCTTTCTCGCTCTGCTGTGGCGCCTGCTGCTCACTGCATTTTTTCTCCCTTCGTTTGTCTGTCTTCCGAAAGAAATCTGATTGAAAGAAAATTGTACCTACCTCCAACCCCCTTCCATCCCCTCCGGATCCTTGTTCCCTCCAAGAACACACTAGGTCCATTCCCCGGTTCTACCCGCCACCTGCCTTTCCTCACCGTGCCCTGCCTGCTGCTCTCCTTTGTCTCCCTGTTCTCATCTCCCTCTTCTCATCCCTGCAGATTCCCATTCTCTCAGAGATCGCGCTGAGCCCATCCCCCTGGTCCACGCGTCAGAAGCTGCTAGCCGTCTACCTGCCCTTCCTCGCAGTGCCCTGCCTGCTGCTTGCCAGAGTCACTCTGCCTTCGTCTCTCCTCCATAAGAAATTCGTGCATGCCAAGAGGTTGTGATAGAGGATTCTTATAGAGTTTAAAGTTATACGAATAGTTACCTGCCAACATGTTCTTACATAATACAACTTGGGGGACCAGCATGTTCTTGCTTGGGACTTGCATAAGCTTCAATTTGAGCTTTTCTTACGGTATGTAAAAAAATAATAATATTATTAGGGGCATTTAGCTTCATATTTGTATATCCCTCATGTGCTATAGGGAGTACGGCTCTCATCTTCCCCTCATGCCCTCCTCGTCAATCTCTAGATCGCTGAGAAGCCGCCAGCTCTTGAACGAGGTCATACATCCAGCTGTCACGAGTACGTGTCTCGTGCTCGAATTCGCGAAAGCACTTACATTTCTGCGAGCTTTTGCGAGGTCAGCCGTAATGTTCCCTGAGGCGAATTGTGCTTTAGGCCTGGTGGTAACCGCTGGTCGCAGTTGTGTCCGTTTGAAACGGAGAGACAAGGCGGGTATGGGGCGAGACGCCACGAAATCGCACGAAACTGGAATCCTAGAGAGAGCCGCCTCGGGAGTCCCGCACGTAGCGATGACCTCGATTCATCCCGCCAATTTGGTCTGACGCGGCGTGCCAGCAAGGCACGCCGACTCTGACACCCCAACTCGCAGTCACCTCCGAAGGTACGAAATACTAGCACGGGCAGGATGGGAAATGATGACGTGGCTGGTACATTTGCGCTTGTTCCTCTGACCAGAATTTCTGTAGAAATCGTTCCTGCCCTACCCGAAATTCACAGTTCGGTTCGGGATTCCATGCAGAGAGCCTTTCCCTTTACGGGGACTTCACAGAGCCTTTCCTCCGCTCTCCTCTGCTGGGTTCTTCAGCTCCAATCGCGTACAGATTGGGCAGATCACACTTGTTCATTCAAGTTCATTCGTTTCGTACTCTGGTTCTTTAGCTCGAGCTTACTTCTTGATATTCCGAACCCGCTCTTACTTTGAGCCTAAAATTCTTCCGGAAGCACTCTGTTGAGCCGTCTTTTGAGTCGTCTTCCTCCCGCTTCCTTAAAGCGATTTCGATGGCAAGTCTGTCTCTGCTGGCTTCCAGCACGGCTGCTGGCGCTACAAGCAACAGCGATACCAGCAGGAAGGACAGACGGCCGAAGAGCGACACCAGGAGGCTCCGGACGACCAAGAAAGGCTTCAGCCCGTTCTTTGCCGCGTACAGAATCGGTAGATTCGACGAGGAACTGAAAGGAGTCCAGCAGAGGTCGTTTCGAAGACTTCCTGGCTTCTCCCCGCTGCGTCCAGCTGCTGTGAATGCTCGGATGGAAGCTGCTGCTCAAGTCGCCTGTGATCTGCCACCGAGGCAACAATAGGCGACACAGCAGAAGAAGAAGCAACGATCATTAAAATCAGTTTCGCTGGCTGCGATTTCGAGCATGCCATTGAAGATCCCAAAGCCTGCAAGCTCAAGAACGTCCGTGAAGGTCGCTAAGGCGAATCCTACGAGCAGCAACAGATCAGCAAGTGTTACTGAAACTGGAAGCTCCTTGGCAGAGAAGGGGTTATCAAAGCTGCAACAAATGAAGGTGATGTTTGAGATTTCCAGATTGACCAAGGCGAAAATATCTGTGCCTGTTGCTGCTGTTGCCGCATGAGCTACTTAAAACGGAGGAAGGTGAAGCTGGCTGATGACTTTCTGTTGGCAGCTAGTTGTTTCTGTGATGGCTAGCCTTAACGCGGTGCTGGCACAGAGACAACAGTAGCATAGCAGATAAGATGTTTCTGTGTGCTAAATTATGGTAGATACACAATTGGTTGTTGTAGCTTGTACATAGTACTCCTGTACAGTATGTTATTGCGCGTCATTGTTCTTAAGGGTAGTGAGGTGAAGTATGCTCAACATACCACGATTCTGCAAAATATGCATATGTGAAGAACGTATTCAGCACTCCTCTTTCCGGTGTCTCCACTAGGTTCCCCCTTACGTTCCCCCATCATTTTCTATTTCCCATGTTTCCCCCCTCCTCCCTAGCTATGCTTCCAATCGCCTCCTTTCCACTCACTCTTCCAACCTTTACTGTCTTCGCTTCTCCCCCTTCTTCGAGCCTTTGGTTGCAATGTTAGTGGTTCTTAGTATAGATTCAGTGACTCATTCTGGTCATTAATGACACAGTCCTGTCAGTCACTGATTCCAGTCTAGATACCCATTTCAGTTACTCATTCCAATAACTAATTCGAGTGATTTGTTGAAGTGATACATATAGTCATTCAGTGCCCTGACTTATTCCAGTAAGTTGTTGTGCTGACTTATCTCAGGAAGTCACTGATTCCAATCCAGTGTTTTGGTGAGGTGACGCATTCGTCACTGATTTCAATAGCTTGCCTCAGTCACTGAGATTCCAGTTACTCGTTTTAGTCACTCAATCAATCTACTACCAGTAACTGATTCCAGCGATCTGGACTTATTTCTGTGACTCAGTTCACTCACCGACTGACAGCCTGCTTTCTGTGACTCATTCCAGTCACTGAATATCTTGAGTGACTGCGATGTCACATTCCAACCACTACTCACTATTTCAGTGGCTCGTTTCAGTGACTCATTCCAGTCAGCCGTTTATGTGACTTGTTCCATCCAATGGCTCGTCACTGAATACTCAGTGACTTATTTTACTGACTTGCTCCAGTTACTGATTTAAGTGGCCTGTTTCAGTGACTCCTTTGGGTCAGTCACTACCCCATGTACCCATCGCAGTTACTCATTCCAAGAACTAATTCCAGTGACACATTCAGTTATCAAGTGCCATGATTCTTTCTGCGAATCGTTCCAGTCGCTAAAAAGTTCCAGTGACATTTCCTCTCGCTGATTTTTTGTGATTTTTTTTTTTTTTTTTAGCATCTCGTTCCAGTCACTGGTTCACCTTTCGTAACGCAGTTACGCAGTCCATTTCATTGACTCACGCTGCATTACTGATTTCAGCCACATGGTTTGGTGACTACTTCCAGTCAGTCACTGATTCCAAGGATCTGTTTCATTAACTCCAATCAGTGACTCGTTTTGCATACTAACTGATTCCTGTCATTGAATGTCATTGACTTGTTTCAGTGACTCATTCCAACACTGATTCCAGCGACTTGTCTCACTCACTAACCCCACTTTCACCACCTCAATTTTCCGCCCCAAGCAGTTTTGTGTTGGCAGATACGTGTGCAGCAGAAGCGGCAGACAAGGCGGGCTGAGTGCAAGACTGCATAGCAGCCGTGCACTTCAACGACCACAGAGAACAACCTGTAACCGTTGCCAATGCCTGGCTACATGCTAACATTTTCTGTTCTTGCTTCGTTTCTTCCCTGGATTTCCATAGCAGTTCACCAACCGAATCAGATCTATTCCCTGCATCACCCATACTCACGTCTGGTGAAAAATCCACCAGTTCTTCTGTTTGCATTTGTTCAACTTGATGTTATGAATTTTCTATTGCCCCAGATATTGTTTCCTTTTCCACTCCCTTCTCACCCCTGTCCTTCAGTACAGCAGAATTCGATGGCAAAAAGCAGAGCCACGGCAGCTACATTTCCATCTGACGATGATTCAATAGCACCAGCAGCAAGGTGGTGAGGTCTTAAATGGAGGAGGAGAGATGAGGAGCAACGGCACAGTACAGCGAGATGAGGATGATGATTGCCACATCATTAGAGGGATCCAAACCTTATCGAGGATGTCTCAGCTGGAGTGGTCCTGGATGGAGAAGTGTAGACAGCATTGGTTGTGCCTTGGATGGAGCAGAGGAGCGGATGCAGAGTGCAGTGAGAATTCTGGAGCACGAGGACAATTCAATGATGCGCCCCCTCATCATCACCGAGTGAAAGTGTCCTCCAATGTTGCCACGGAGGTGCCATGCCCGGATGATGGTCACTGCAGGTTTTTCAGTCAGGCATTAATTCGCAATAAGGCCTTCAGTTGGCAGCTGGGAGGGTGATTCTTGTACATACTGAAATAACTGTATGGCTGGATAGGGCCTATTGTATCAGTATAGATGATCCTGAATACCCTGAAGTCAAGATACCAGTGCTGTGGTGTGACTACTGTGGCACGGGGGCACTAGGTTGGTACGGCACTTTCCCAACCGACCTTACCCTTATCACTGAAGTTGGCCTAAAAAAAAAATTACACTCTCACATTTTCCGTTGCAAAGTGTTGCGATCAGAAGTTGATCGTAACCAGGATCGCCTCAGGAAGGTTCACACACTTCTAATCTAGCGGTGGTGGGCCCTTGACCTCAATAGCAGAGTGAATGTAAATGCTTGAGATGATAAAAACATGTAGTACAAGGAATATAAATAAGAGTACAACGGAATACGAAACGACCTAGCTAGCCATGTACTCTAAGGGGTACATTCCCTTATTGCAGCGAAATCCAACCGTGCGACTCCGGGTGGTTACGAAACTGTTCGGGCAGAATCCTGGCCACTGCTGCTGCCTGATGCTGTCTGCCCGACGGTCCAGACGCTCCTCGTAACCGTCTGTCCCTTCGTATTACTTCTGCCTTTTCGTCTTCACTCTCGATAGTGCGTGCTTCGGCTTTGCTACGGTGAGGAGTGATCAATAGTGTTTCAAATAACCACTATTCGTAACACCCCCCTTCACTCCTGGCCGTAGCGAGCATTGACCCGCTTGACTACCCCGCTGAGTTCGGAGCAGTGCTGGTACTGCTGACGCGGCAGTTTCTTCGTGAGGAAGTCTGCTGCCATGTCACCTGTTGGGCAGTATGTCAGGTCAACCTTGCCTTTGTCAACTTCGTCTTTGACGAAGAAGTACCGCAGTGCGATGTGCTTGGTGCGGTTGACGAAGCCAGGTTTGTTCGCGATCCTGATCGCGCTCTGGTTGTCGCAGTGCAGGCGAAAGTTCGCTGAGGCCGGGATTTTCGCTTCCTGCAGCAACTCCTGAAGGTAGAGGCCTTCGCGAACAGCTGCTGTTGCTGCGATAAATTATGCTTCCGCTGATGACAGGGCAACCAACTCCTGCTTCTGAGAGTTCCAGGAGATGGGGCCGC